CAATATATTAAAAGAATTATTCACCATGATCAAGTGGGATTCATCCCTGGACTGCAGAGCTGGTTCAATATTCAGAAATCAATCACTGTGATAGACCGTATTAATAGAAAAAAGGATAAGAACCATATGATCCTGTCAATAGATGCAGAAAAAGCATTTGACAAAATATAACATCCTTTCTTAATAGAAACTCTCAAGAAAGTTGGGAGAGAAGGAACTTACCTTAACATCATCAAAGTCACATATGAAAGGCCCACAGCTAATATCATTCTCAATGGGGAAAAGCTGAGATCAGGAACACAACAGAGATGTCTACTTTCACCACTGTTGTTTAACATAGTGTTGGAAGTTGTAGCCTCAGCAATCAGGCAATAAAATGAAATAGAAGACATCCAAATTGGCAAGTGAGTCAAACTTTAACTTTTTGCAGATGACATGATACTCAACATGGAAAACCTCAAAGACTACCCATAAACTGCTAAAACTGATACATGAATTTAGCAAAATTGCAGTGTATAAAATCAATGTACAGAAATCAGTTGCATTTCTAGACACCAATAATGAAGCAACAGAAAGAGATACCAAGGAATTGATCCCATTTACAATTGCACCACGAACCAAAAAATAATTAGGAATAAACCTAACCAAAGAGGTAAAAGATCTGTACAATGAAAACTATAGAAAGCTTATGAAAGAAATTGAAGAAGACACAAAGAAATGGAAAAACATTTCATGCTCATGGATTAGAAGAACACATATTGTTAAAACATCGATACTACCCAAAGCAATCTACACATTTAATGCATTCCCAATCAAAACTGCACTGGGATTCTTCTCAGGGCTAGAACAATAATCCTAAAATTTGTATGGAGCCACAAAAGACCCCAAATAGCCAAAGTAATTTTGAAAGAGAAAACCAAAGTGAGAGGGATCACAATTATGGACTTTAGCCTGTACTACAAAGCTGTATGGTATTGATACAAAAACAGACACACAGACCTATGGAATAGAATAGAGAACCCGGAATTGGACCCACAAATGTATGGCCAACTAATCTTCAACAAAGCAGGAAAGAGTATCAAGTGGAAAAAAGACAAGCCTCTTTAGCAAATGGCGCTGGGAGAACTGGACAGCAACATGCAGAAGAGTGAACCTGACCACTTTCTTATACCATACGCAAAAATAAACTCAAAATGGATAAAAGACCTAAATGTGAGATAGGAAACTATCAAAATCCTAGGAGAGAAAACTGTCAACAACCTCTTTGACCTTGGCTGCAGCAACTTCTTACTTGACACATCAGTGAAGACAAGGGAAAGAAATGAAAAAATGAACTATTGGAACCTCATCAAGATTAAAAGCTTCTGCACAGCAAAGGGAACAAGCAACAAAGCCAAAAGGCAACCAAAGGAATGGGAGACAATATTTGCAAATGACATTTTGGATAAAGGGCTAGTATCCAAAATCTATAAAGAACTTACCAAACTCAAAACTTGAAAAACAAATAATCCAGTGAAGAAATGGGCAGAAGACATGAATAGACAATTTTCCAAGGAAGACATTCAAATGGCCAAGAGACACATGAAAAAGTACTTAACATCTCTCATCATCAAGGAAATACAAATCAAACCCACAATGAGATACCATCTCACACCAGTCAGAGTAGGTGAAATTAACAACTCAGGAAACAACAGATGTTGGTGAGGATATAGAGAAAGGGGAACTCTCTTGCATTGTTGGTGGGAATGCAAATTGGTACAGCCACTCTAAAAAAGTGTGGAGGTTCCTCAAAAAATTAAAGATAAAATTACCCTATGACTCAGCAATAGGACTGTTAGGAATTTATCCAAAGGATACAGGAGTGCTGATTCATAGGAGCACATGCACCCCAATGTTTATAGCAATGCCATCAACAATAGCCAAATTATGGAAAGAGTCTAAATGTCCATCAAGTGATGAAGAAATAAAGATGTGGTTTATATATACAATGGAATACTACTTGGTGATGAAAAAGAATGGAATCTTGCCATTTGCAACAATGTGGATGAAACTGGAGGGTATTACGCTAAATGAAATAAGTCAGTCAGAGAAAGACAGCTATCATATGTTTTCACTCATATGTCGAAGTTGAGAAACTTAACAGAAGACTATGGAGGAAAAGAAAGAAAAAAATATTTACAAACAGAGAGGAAGGCAAACCATAAGAGACTTAAAAACAGAGAACAAACCGATGGTGGACGGAGGTGAGGGTGAGGGAAAATAGGTGATGGGCATTGAGGAGGGCACTCATTGGGATGAACACTGGGTATTTTATATAAGTAATGAATCACTGAAATCTACTCCCAAAACCAAGAGCACACTGTATACACTGCATGGTAGCTAACTAGACATTAAATTATATTAAAATGAAAAAGAAAAAGAAAAAAAGAAAAAAATAGGTCAATTAAATGATTCAGCAATTCCACATCTTAGAACATACCCAAAGAAATGAAAATACAATATCAAAGAGATATATGTACCTCCTCCCTCCCCCATTTACTGTAGTTATTATTCCCAATAGCCAGATGTGAAGAAACATCATATCCTGATAAGAGAGTAGATCTTAATTATTAATTAAACCTGGATTACTCCTAGCACAAAATAGAAATTATAATTATATACAATGATAAGGCGCTAACTAATGCTACAATGGCAATCATACTGCAATATATAAATGCATCAAATCAATACATTTTACACCTAAATTACACAATTGTTATATGTCAAATATATTTCAATAAAATAATAAAAATAAATGAGTTGAGTAAAGTGTAGAGTTTTTATAGGCAATTGAAGTTTAGTTGTTATCAGTATAAAAGAGAGAGTTATATCTTTAAAATGTTTTATGTAATCCTCAGGGTAACCACAAAGCAAAAATCTATAGTAGATTCACAAAAGATAAAGTAAGAGAATCAAAGAGTATCAACACAGAAAATCATGAATTCACAAAGGAAGGCAGCAAAAGAGGAAAAAAGGAACAAGGGAATTAGTAAACAACCAGAAAACAGTAAGATGGCATTAGTAGGTTCTTATCTATCAATAATTACTTTAAAAATAAATGGAATGAATTCTACAATCAAAAGATAGCTGGATGGATAAAAAACAAGACCCAACTATATACTATCTACCAGAAACTCACTACAGCTTTAAACACTTTCAAACCCACATAGGTTTAAATTAAGGGGATGGAGGGGCACCTGGGTGGCTCAGTCGGTTAAGCATCCGACTTCAGCTTCAGGTCACCATCTCACGGTTTGTGGGTTCAAGCCCCGGGTTGGGCTCTGTGCTGACAGCTAGCTCAGAGCCTGGAGGCTGCTGTGGATTCTTTGTGTCTCTCTGTCTCTGACCCTCTCCTGCTCACGCTGTCTCTCTCTTTCTCTCTCTCTCAATCTCTCTGAAATAAATAAAACATTTAAAAAAATTAAGTAAATGGATGGAAAAAGATATTACAAGAAAATACAAACCAAAGAGAACAGAGGAAACTATACTTATATCAGACTAATAGACTAAGCCAAAAACAGTAACAAGAAACAAAGATCATTATATAATGATAAAGAGGTCAATTAATCAACAAGATATAATAACTGTAAATTTATATGCACCCAACACTAAAGCACCAAAATATATTATGCAAATACTAACAGACCTGAAGAAAGAAATAGATAACAATGTAATACTAGTAGGGGACTTTAATACCCTACTTTCAGCAATGGATAGATCTTCCAGACAGAAAATCAATAAGGAGATATTGGACTTGAACTATACTTTAAACTAAATAAAACTAACAGATATAATATAGAACACTCCACACCACAGCAGCAGAATACACATTCTTCTTACAAGCACATGGTATATTTTCAAGGATAGATCACATGATAAGTCACAAAACAAGTCTTGATATATTTAAGAAGACTGAAATCATATCAAATTTTTTTGTTTTGTTCTGACCAAACTTTTTACTTAGTTTTCTATAGTTGCTTAACACACAGTTAAATGGTCTGTTTGGGGGATGGGAAAGGGGAGGTTCTTGTAGATTCCAAGGAAATACAAGAAAGGCAAAATATGGCCAGCATTATCTATTTGCTTTTTTGGACAAGTACCACTTCCCTTACATAAGTATCTGATTTTGAATTTTTCATACTGAAAACACTGATATTTTAGTTAAAAACACCCTGAAATCCTAAGAGTAGCATACCCCATCACCCTTTAATAGCTAGCTTATTTATATAGGCAGAAGGATTCACCTTTACATTTTAGATGGTTAGATATTTATGGAAGGTCTTAGAATTGCTTGCCTCATTTACTGGGAAAAAAATAGAAATAGCATGTGGTCTTTTGGGACACTTTTACTTGGAAAATTACAACACTAGTACACAGGTCTAGTCTTAACACATTTAATATTTGCTTGTTGAAAGTAATGCCATAAAATCAAGTAGGATTAAATAGGTTTTGCTTTTTTTCCTCTCACAAGAACATAAAAATTATGGTAGGGGAACTTAAAAGGAAATTTTAAAAAGGTAACATAATATTTAGTTTTAGTAGTCCTTGGGTGGTTACGGCAGAAAAGGTTCCACTTTTTTGTTTTGTTGAATGGGGTTTTGGTCCAAAGTTTTGTTTCTTTTTACTATCTGCTCATTCTTCCCCCTCTATCATACTGGTTTCCTCCATAGTCACCACCACTAGGTGCTCTGCAGCTCAAAGTGCTATAGGAATCACGTGGAATGGGGTACCCCCTTTCCATAGAAGGGGAAAGCTCTCTTTCTTGTCTGCCAAGTGGATCACAGCCATTTGACTAGAGATCACTTCAGCTGCCTAACTGTCTTGACTTCTATCATATCCATTATGTGAGCTGCTGTAATCATAGCGACTGCTTCTACCATAAGATGGCAAGGGCCCTCATCTAGGTGGAGCATTATGTGAGTTACCATAACTCTCATATGAATCTCTGTAAGAAGCTCCACTTAGGTGATCTGAATAGTTAGGATCAGGACCATAGTTATCTCTATCACTATAGTCTGTTGATGGGTAGTCATCATATGAACTGGAATGACCATAATCACAGTAGGTAAAATCTCTTGGTGGTGATGCATAATCTCTTGTATCAAAAGAGTTTCAGTAATCTCTGGTTGAATAGCTGCCTTTCGTAGAATATCCATCATCCTTTGGGGACAAATAAACACCTCTACAAAAGGCCAGGGGTTTACTTCAAGGTAGGCCTCCATAACTGTCTCTTCCACATTGCACAGGAACTCTTTCTTCCCTCTACTGCACTGCTGCTGTGAATTGGTCTGAAAGAGGAGTATCTTTAGGAGTAGAACAGTGACTTTGTGGTGGTGGTGCTCTTTTCATTGGAAGTGATCTTCTTGAAGAAATTAGGTTAAAATTCATGGAATAGCCACCATTGTCCATGTGCCTACCATGTGAGGGAGGTCCCCTGGTTCCTCCACTTCCTACTCTTCTACCTCTAAAACCTCCTGGAGGGCCTCTGCTTCTTGGAAGTGGAGGTGGTCCCTATCTACCACTTTCAAATGACGGTTTAGTTGCTTCTTCTGCCTTGATGGCTTTTCCATATAAAGACTTTCCATTCATGTCTCTGGCTGTATCCTTAACATCTGCTGTGCTTTCAAACATGACAAAAGCAAATCCTCTTGATTTGTTGGTTTTATCATCTTTCATCACTAGAGCTTCCACTATCTGTCCATATTTGTCAAACAATGATTCAAGGGATTTCTCATTTGTTTCTGTATTAAGGTCACCAGTGAGAAGTTTTCCTGGGCAATCTGATTCAACCATCCCCCACCCCCCGCCCGCCTCCTGGTGAGAGTTGGAAGGATGATGATGGTTTCAGGCTCTTACAAGCTCTCAGGCAGGGACTTCGCAGCAGCTTAGCACTAGGTAGGGCTGCTGGGCTGCTGGTTCCAAGAACATTAGAGGGAAGCTGCTAGCACTACTACATAACAAGGGCGAACCTCATATCAAATTTTATTTCAATAAATTATTTGGTTACCTATTTGATTTTATGACATTGCTATCAATAAGCAAATGTTAAATGTGTTAAGACTTGGCTTGTGTACTAGTGCTGTAATTTTCCAAATAAAAGATGAAAATTTTCCTATAACAGCATAGAAAAGTTCTGTTATAAGACAGGAGAAAACAACATGTAGGCTCTAAGTGCAATACTGAACTTCATAGTTTCAGTATAGCTTATCTGATCAACAGGATATATATGGATATGCAAAATTCCATTAACTTTGCTAACTCTTAATATTTGTATCAATATTTTAAAGGAGAAATAATATTAATTTTACTGTTTTTGAAATAAATATGGAAAGAAGTTAAACATGTACTCTTGACATACAATTAAGCATATTTTAATGACAATATTCCCTTAGAAAGTTAAATTTATTAGTCTACATATAAAGATAATTTGTTTAATGTAATACTATCATTTTTTCATATGTACTGTAAAATACAGATGTAGATTATAGATGGAATGGCCAATATACTCCTCAAAAATTATTTATTTTTGTGCAGAAAAAAATTTGTTCAAACTTTAAATATAATACTGGAAATTAAAATGGTCTGTCATGTTATGCCAACATATGGCCATGTAAAGCTACCAGGCTTCTCCTATTTTATCAAGGTACCCAACAATTCTAGGTAACTATTTTATGAAAGTCAGTGAATAAATATTGTATATAAGTTCGGTGGCATTTTTCTTATGGGTGAGGTTATGGTTTTATAAATAATCATATAAGTTACATTCTTTTAGGGTATTCAGAGCATAGTTAGGGAGATTAATTGGTCTTCCATATGTTGTTCTGGAAGATATTTTTCTTTATTTATTTTTAAAATGTAATATATGGGGGCACCTGGTGGCTCAATCTGGTAAGTGTCTGACTTGGTCTCAAGTCATGATCTCATGGTTCATTAGTTCAAGCCTTACATCAGGCTCTGTGCTGACAGCTTGGAGCCTGGAGGCTGCTTCAGATTCTGTATCTCCCTCTCTCTCTGCCCCTCTTCCACTCACATTCTGTCTCTCTCTCTCACTCAAAAATGAATAAACATTTAAAAATAAATAAAATTTAATATGTAACACATACGATAATAACCATCCTCCAAGATGGCCCCCAGCACTTCGCAATTTGGATAGGTATGTCCCTTTATAGTTTCCTCCCATATTGAATAGGTGTCTGATGATGTGTGACTTCCAAAGTGAGGTCATAAAAGGCAGTGCAGTTTCCACCTTGCTTTCTCTTGGATCACTTCTTCTGTGAGAAGCAATTTGACAGACGGTAAAAATAACTAAAGCAGCCCATGGATAGGCAAAGTAGGGAAGAGCTGAGTCCTTCCAAAAGCCAGCACTAGACATATGAGTGAGGTACCATAGAAACAGATTCTCTAGCTCCAGAATTCTTAAGATGTTGGCAGCCCTGGCTGACATGTGCCTGAACATCATGAGAGAACCTAAGCCAGATCCACCCTGCTAAGCTGTTCTTGAATTTCTGCCCAGCTAAGGTTTGAGGTAATGTGCACCATAGATAAATAGTACACCACAGAAAAGAATATATGTAACATATACGTTATTATAAAACATAATAATAAACACCTGTAACACTTCCCCCTCCCAAATTTGTAAAATAGGACATTATTAATGTTACGTCCATCTCCACTTTTTAACCTTTAGGTTAGTATAGCACTTTTATTTATTTTTATTTTTTTAAAAGTTTTTAAATGTTTTATTTATTTCAGAGAGAGTGAGCAAGAGAGAGAGCGAGCGAGCATGAGCAGGGGAGGGTCAGAGAGAGAGGGAGACAAAGAATCTGAAACAGGCTCCAGGTTCTGAGCTAGTTGTCAGCACAGAGCCCAATGTGGGTCTCGAACCCACGAACCATGAGATCATGACCTGAGCCAAAGTTGGACACTTAACCAACTGAGCCACCCAGGTGCCCCAATATAGCATTTTAAAAATATTTAAATTAGATGCAGATGAGATTTAAGATGGGGGCTTGCTGGGGCGCCTGGGTGGCTCAGTCAGTTAAATATTCGACTCTTGGTTTTGGCTAAGGTCATGATCTCACAATTCATGTCTGTGCTAATGACTCAGCCTGGAGCCTACTTGGATTCTCTCTCTCTCTCTCTCCACCTCTGTCTCTCTCAAAAATAAACATTTAAAAATTTTTTTAAAATAAATAGCTTAAAATAACCAATATGGCAAAGAGGCATATTTGGGGGTGATATATTTTGCTCTTCCTTAGTCCAATGTAAGGGTGTTTCCCAAAGAATGCTATCTCTCATACTTCTTGGAATGCAGCCAGGGTTCTAGCTCCTCAGCCCCCAGCCTTGCAGGACCCAGTAGTGGGTACATCTTTACCATTTGCTTGTCCAGCTCCATGGAAGTTCTAATAGGTTTGACAATTCCTTTCTTAGTTTCACTATCACAAAAGTCACCCTTTTGCAACTTAGCATAGGACCAAAAATAGTCTTTTGATATCTGAGAAGTTATGTTTGTATGTTTATACATTTATTTTTGACTTATGGGTGAGGTTAAAAATGAAGCTGTAAGCTCTCTTACTGCTGTGGTGTCTAGTTGAGAAAAGCCTCTTGTAATCTGAACTGTTTTCCCATCTCCAGAGGGTATTAATGAATTACATTATACAGACTCCAAAATTAATGGAGCTTTATTTAAATGAGTTTTAGAAATTTATAAATGCTTCTCTATATCTAGCATTTCTAAAGGTACAGAGAAAATAAAGAAGGTGATGTTTACACTCATATGTGGATCAGGAGAAACTTAACAGAAGACCACTGAGGAGGGAAAGGGGAAAAATAGTTATGGAGAGGGAGGGAGGCAAACCATAAGAGACTCTTAAATACTGAGAACAAACTAAGGGTTGAGGGGGTTGGGGAAGAGGGGAAAATGGGTGATGGGCATGGAGGAGGGCACTTGTTGGGATGAGCACTGGATGTTATATGGAAACCAACTTGACAATAAACTACATTAAAAAAATAAATACATTAAAAAATAAAGAAGCTGAAACCTGAAATATGCTAGCCTTTTAAGAGACAAAATTTCATATAGAAACTGTGAGGATGTTTACGTAAGAAGCTAACCTCACATATTCAAAGCGAATCTTTGTACAAATTAGACTGGTTTCAGAACAGTTTTATGACTTCTCAGACTTTTATAAGTATTAAATAAAATACAATCAGCATATTTTATTTCTTAAATTATATTTAAGTCTGTTTTTCATGAAGAAACTAATAATTCTGAAATTCATAAACCTTTTACATTGGCTTATTGATCATACAGCAAATTCATTTATATACACTGATTAGGATTGTGAAAAATTTTAAACTACTATATGTTTGTAATTCTGACAAAGTTCTTATATTATGTACAAAGTAGTATGGACATCTGTACGTAATTTTCTAAGATCTTACATGGACTCATGAGTTTGTTCATCTGTTAAATGTTTTGTGTGAGATATATTTTCTTTGTGATAATAAAAGTTGGTTATAGAACATAGTTACTATGAGTAACTGAGACACTGTTAAATTAATAGCAAAAAACACAGTTGTGTATGCAAGGTAATGGGATGTGTTTTATAAAAAAAGAAGGAAAGAAAGAAAGAATGAAGTTTGTAAAATAAGGTGTCTGTGTCAAAATGCGAATGATGATAATAAAAGACAAAACCTGGATATATACTGAAAGTTGTGGAATTTTTACACTAAGGAAATTTAGTGTTGGCTTGTATATATACAAATAATGGACTGAAAAGAAGAGTTGAAATATATTATTAACATTTTGACAAATATTGCTTAATGCTGATGAGCTTATTCACAGGATAATTCATAAAGAAGTAGCTGTGAATGTTTTAGTTGGTTTTCTTTTTGTTAAAATGACAACTGATCTTAAAGCTTTAACAAGAAGGAGTAAAAAGCTTACTCTTTGTACAATCTGCTCAGAGAGCAGAAATTCAGTATCTCACTCAATTTTTAGTGCCTTGTGTTGACTTTATCGAGTTCTAGAACAGTAGTCAGTAATTTTTTTTTTTCTGTAAAGGACCATATGTTAAATATTTTAGGCTTTGAGGACTATAAGGACTCTAAGATCCATCACAACTACTCTGTCACTGTAGTGGAAAAACAGCCATAGACTATATGTAGAAGGGAGGAAAATTTGCCACTCCAAAAAGTGTCTCTCTGGCATGTGGATTATTTTAAGCTGATTATTTTTAAGAAACAGGAGACTCAAGAGGTTTTTCTTTTTTGTCTTTCCACTAACTGACAAAAAGAATTTATAGAGGACTTGCTCCAGGAGACAGCTATCACCATAGATAATGACCGTATAAATGAATTAGGTGTGGTAGATACGGAGAAACATAGCTCGCATGTTTGATAAAATTCTTTTCTGTGTCTCACTGTTTCCGTACTGTCCATCAATCATTTGTTCACCAAATATTTACTCTTTTTTATTTTCCTTTGAATTCTCTTCCTTCCCTTTGAATCCCAGGCACCTACTCCATTCTCCTTAGCTCCATATAGTGCATTAAGTCTCAATTGCCTGATCGCGCCTAAGCTTCATATTCTTCTAGAGCTATCATATGTACAGAATTAAATTAGATTTCCTTTTGCTAATCTCTCATATGTCAACTTAATTCTTACACCAGTCAAAAGAACCTTGAAAGATAAAGAAAAAATTTTCTTTGCCAATTGTGTAAATAATTAAGTGTGGGTGTGTTTAATATTTATGGGCACTGAATTTTCATACCTCACAAAATGTTATCCCTATTTTAAATGTTTTCAAACATTTGAAAATATAAGAACTATTCTTAGGTTATGAACTGTATCCATGAACTCATGATTAGGTTTATGGGCCATGGTTTGGCTAACCTCTGTTACAGATTATTAAAAACTAAAACAACAAAGGGTCCTCCTTTTTAAAGAGCTAAAATTCTCACAACCATTGTTACCTTTTTCTAGTTTATTTTAAAACATTAATTTAACACATGGATTATATAGATAAGCAAATACTGTTTCTCAGGTGCCTATCATTCTATCTTAATCAAGTACCTAAATCATCTTTGATAATTGTTTTGATTTTGTCTTCCCAAGGTCAGACCTTTAATTAAAAAAATTAATATATATTTACATCTGAAAGTATCTTTGAAACTTCCTAGCAGGCCCTAGAAAATCATAAAGATTTTTTCTTTCTCCTTATTAGCAACAAAATACTATAAAAATTTAGGTATATTTGGTCTCATCCAAATATACCCAAATATCAATACTATTTTAAGACATGAAAAAAAAAAAGAAAAATTAAAAAATACTCTCATCCTTACCTAACTTAATTTTGCACATAAAATGATTTTAATATAATATTTTAAGAGATTTTACACTTCTCAGCAAAGACCTGGGTATTTATCAATGCACTCATTTTTTATAATATTTAGGTATTATCTTGAAGCGACAATGGATTAGAATCTTATGAAATAGTATTGTACTGTACACCCTAATAGCTCACTTCCATTTTGATACTTTTGATTACTGTAGTAAATTAACAACAGCCATGTATTCTTATCTATAGGTGAACTTTGCTTTCTTCTGATTTTTACTTGAAGACTCAAAAGTTAGAACTCATGCATTCAACAAAGAAGGTCTCTGTGACTCAAGAAAAAGACTCTACCAAATATCTTAACTACTGATATATGAAAGAACAGACTTTTGACTAAAGATTGTCAAGCTTATATCACTCAGAAATCTTTCCAACTGTACTAGAGGGCTAAATTAGGCTTTCTAAGACTATTTCACAAGAAGATGACTTCATGAAATCATATTGCTGATCCAAGTTCCAGGAGAATAAGAATTAATTACAAAAGACTGAATAAACTGATCAGAAAATTTTAATAGTGGTTATTTATTTAAAATATTGTTGATGTTATTTTAATGCTCTATTTACTGATTAAAATACAAGGATCGCTTTTTCTTCCATCTAGATCATTTACCCTCAATTTAGAAGTCTTTTATCCTTTTATAAATAGAAATGAAACATTTTAAAATGGAATCTAATTCTCAATGAAGTCTCACAATTCAGAAATAAATATTTTCGGTTTTCTCTTATTTTTGTGACAGCAGTTATTTTCATTATTTCAATAAGAATCTGTCTCCATTTTACCTCAAATTGGAAAAGCTGATTGTGCAACCAAAGCCACACTGTGGTGTTCTGTGTGGGAATGAACCACTTTTAATCAGGTTCAGCAAGCTCACCATTAAAGAACAAAGGCACTTCTGTCTACAAAACCTTCAGAGGAAACTGGCCTGGTACCTGGCTTACAGGGCTTCAGCCTCACAAATGATAAAGTCACTTCTTGGCAGGCCAGGAAACCTAGCTTATTTGGGGGACATTGAGGAAAGACTAATTTACCAATTCTATGGATACAATAGCAAAATCTAGGGGAGAAATTTTCTTTTTTTAAAAGAAATTTTTAAAAAGTTTGTTTTTTTTAGAGAAAGAGACAGAGCAAGTTGCGGAAGGGCAGAGAGAGACGGAGAGAAACCCCAAGCAGGCTCCAATGCGTCAGCACAGAGCTGATGCGGGGTTTGAACTCATGAACTGTGAGATCATGACCTGAGCTGAAACCAAGAGTCTGGAGGACGCTTAACCAACAGAACCCATGTTCCTCTAGGGGAGAGGTTTTCTTGGTCTTGACTTCCTAGTCCAGACTTTACAGAGTCCTTTAAGTGGTTCAATCCTAGATTCTTTAATAAGATTTACAAACAAAGGTAATAGTTTTGCTTCAGAATCTGTTAAATATTACATGATCAAGGAAGCTTAGGGGTTATTTAACACCTCTTATTGCATCTGTAAAAATAAACAGCCTAAACTATAAGCAGACCAACCTTTATTCCCCCTAATCAATATTTGGGGATTATTTATGGACAAAACAGGGAATGCTATGGACTGAATGTTTGTTCCTCCTAAAATTACTATGCTGAAACCGTAATACCTAATGTGATAGTATTTGGAGATGAGACCTTCGGAAGGCAATTAGGTAATGGAAGTGGAGAATTCATGAATGGAATTAGTGCCTTTAAAAGAAGAAACATGAGAGAGATAATCTCTCTTTCTGCCACATGAAGACACAGCAAGAAGATGGCCATCTTCAAACTAGGAAAGGGTCCTGATGAGAACCCAATCATACTGACACCATGCTATAGGTCTTCCTGTCAGAACTGTGAGAAATAAATGTTTAAGCTGTTCAGCCGTTTATTTGTTATACTGTCCTGAACTAAGACAGGGAGATTGTTAAATTATTAAAACTGGAAAAGGGCAGAAAAGGTGGGTAGCATGTCTTTTCAACGTTATTCTGACAGTATTTAATAAACTCACCCTAGTGAGTTATCAGAAAGTTATATAATTTTCTAGGGAAATGTACCTGCGTTTGCATTTGCTATTTACTATTTGATCAGAACCCAGACACTATGAAGTTACTTGCAAACACGTAAGTTTCTCCCTGATAAAAAAGATAATTGTGATGGTTATGGTTTGATTGCCCCATAGAACAATAATGAGTTTTGTATTTAACTTAGCAGCCCTACTGTAAAATATTTTAGATGTTTTTCTTATTAGACTATCTAAACCCCTTTTCATGAAATGCTCTTAGAGACAGTTTTAACCATGTTAGTGGTTTTCCTCATTAATCAATGAGTTGAATAAAATGTTTATTTTAGGGGTGCCCAGTTGGCTCAGTCAGTTAAGTGTCCAACTTCAGATCAGGTCATGATCTCAAGGTCTGTAGGTTCAAGCCCCATGTTGGGCTCTGTGCTGACAGCTCAGAGCCTCGAGCCTGCTTTGGATTCTGTGACTCCCTCTCTCTCTCTGCCCCTCCTCTGCTCATGCTCCGTCCCTCTCAAAAAAAGGAATTTTTCCCCAAAAAATTTTTAATAAAAATGTTTATTTTATATTTGTATAACTCATCTTTAACTTTTTAAAAGTAATATTTTGACCCATATAACTTAATCATGTAAGCTTACATTTTGATAGAAATATAAGAATTCAAATGGGTATTCTCATAAGGATTCAATATCATACAGAATAAAATAAGGCCAAAATTTAGTCTCCTTTTACCTTGAGTTATATTTACATTTTCTGGTGCTTACTTTAGATTAATTAGATGTTTATCCTGTAATAGCAAAGAGGATGACAGGTGTTCTGAACATAGATTAAATGGTCTTACTGCTATGTACCAGGAATTGTCTCTAGAAATAACCGATCCTATTTTCCAATTACTTTCAGAAATGACAGAATAATAGTAAATCTGCCAAAACTAAAATTGTTTTTGGTAGATATTTTCCAAAGGTCATATCATGAATACTAATGAAGCTAATGAAGCAATTTGTTTAGTTATTTCAATGTATCTTTAGTAGGTGACTCAAATGCCACAGACCACCGTATGATGGTGTTGCACAATATCTGAATTTTCCCTCCATAGGAGCAATACCGAACTTTTCCTCTGGCCGAGGTGGAACACTAAATACACTTGTACTTATAAATTTCCTGTGTAAAGCATGTATACCATATTCTGGGGTCTTCATCAACCATTAGCTAAGGCATGTGAATTAATGCAAAGCTGTTTGTAAAAAAAAAAAAACTGACTTTGTCTGCAGGCAAAATTATTTAGAGGTGAGAAAGTGTTTTGTCATTTCATGTGGGTGAGAATAAGGTCCTCTGCTATCTTGACTTGAACACTCACACCTCCCCTACCCCAGCCTGTTGTCTGTAAACTACTCAACAATTATTAACATATAACATATATATAACATATATATTTTTTGATTTGTTAATGCTCTGGTTTCCTTAATAAAGTATAAGCTTCATAAGATCAGAGATTTTTGCCTGTACTTTGCTCTCCTGCTGTAACCTATCAGTTAATAAATGTGCCTGGTACACAGCAACTGCTCAACACATACATGTTAAATAAACTGAACGAAGTAGATGAATTAGTGAATGGGTGGGACTTATTTAAGTCCATTTAACATTATGATAATATAATTTTTTAAATAGTTTATTGTCAAGTTGGTTTCCATATAACACCCAGTGCTCATCCCCACACGTGCCCTCCTCCATGCCCATCAACCCCATTCCCATCCACCTCCCCCCACCCCATCAGCCCTCAGTTTGTTCTCGGCGTTCAAGAGTCTCTCATGGTTTGCCTCCCTCCCTCTTCCCCACTATTTTTCCCCTTCTTCTCCCTCATGGTCCTCAGTTAAGTTCCTCCTAATCCTCCTATATGTGCAAACATATGGTATCTGTCCTTCTCTGACTGACTTATTTCTCTCACCACAACACCCTCAAGTTCCATCCATGTTGCTCCACATGGCCATGTAGTCTTCCATTGTATAGATAAACCACATCTTCTTGATCCAGTCATCCGTTAATGGACACTTAGGCTCTTTCCATGTTTTGGCTATTGTTGAGAGTGCTGCTATGAACATTGGGGCACATGTGCCCCTATGCATCAGCACTCCTGTATCCCTTGGGTAAATTCCTAGCAGTGCTATTGCTGGGCCATAGGGGAGTTGTATTGTGAAGTTTTTGAGGAACCTCCACACTGTTTTCCAGAGGGGCTGCACCAGTTTACATTCCCATCAACAGTGTAGGAGGGTGCCCATTTCTCCACGTCCTCACCAGCATCTAGGGTCCTCTAATTTGCTCATGTTAGTCACTCTGACCAGCGTGAGGTGGTATCTCAGTGTGGTTTTGATTTGGATTTCCCTGATGAGAAGGAATGCTGAGCATCGTTTCATGTGTCTGTTGGCCATCTGGATGTCCTCTTTGGAGAAGTGTCTGTTCATATCGTCTGCTCATTTCTTCACTGGATTGTTTATTTTTCGGGTGTGGAGTTTGGTGAGTTCTTTATAGATTTTGGATACTAGCCCTTTATCTGATATGTCATTTGCAACTCTCTTTTCTCATTCCGTCGGTTGCCTATTAGTTTTATGGATTGTTTCCTTTGCCATGCAGAAGCTTTTACTCTTGATGAGGTCCCAATAGTTCATTTTTGCTCTTGATTCCCTAGCCTTTGGGGATGTGTCAAGTAAGAAATTGCTGTGGATGAGGTCAAGGAGGTGGTTTCCAGCTTTCTCCTCTAGAGTTTGATGGATTCCTGTCTCACGTTCATGTCCTTTATCCATTTTGAGTTTATTTTTGTGTATGGTGTGAGAAAATGATTTAGTTTCCTTCTTCTGCATGTTGCTGTCCAGTTCTCCCAGCACCATCTGTTAAAGAGGCTGTCTTTTTTCTATTGGATACTCTGTCCTGCTTTGTCAAAGATTAGTTGACTGTATACTTTTGGGTCCAAATCTGAGTTCTCTATTCTATTCCATTGGTCTATGTGTCTGTTTTTGTGCCAATACCATCCTGTCTTGATGATGACAGCTTTGTAGTAGAGGCTAAAGTCTGGGATGGTGATACCTCCCGTTTTGGTTTTCTTCTTCAATATTGCTTTGGCTATTTGGGGTCTTTTGTGGTTCCATACAAATTTTAGGACAGTTTGTTCTAGCTTTGAGAAGAATGCTGGTGCAATTTTGATTGGGATTGCATTGAATGTGTAGATTCTTTGGGTAGTAATGACATTTTAACACTATTTATTCTTCCGACCCATGAGCATGGGATGTTTTTCCATTTCTTCGTATCTTCTTCAATTTCCTTCATGAGTTTTCTATAGTTTTTATCATACAGATCTTATATCTTTGGTTAGGTTTATTCCTAGGTATTTTATGGTTTTTAGTGTAATTGTGTATGGGATCCGTTTCTCAATTTCTTGTTCTGTTGCTTCATTGTTGGTGTATAAAAATGCAACCAATTTCTGTACGTTGATTTTGTATCCTGAAACTTTGCTGAATTC